AACTTTAAAATATATGTTTATCTTTATTTACAAAGTTTAAAAGTTAAAAATGGTATAGATGGACGGATATATGAAAACTTAAAAATCTTGCAAATTTTGAGAATTGACAGTAAAAAAATGCATTACAAAATACACTATTTCCAAAATTTAAAATAAATTTTTTTCTCATGTCCGTGCATCTTGATATCGAGATGATCAATTTGAGGATACTTGGGCACTAAAACAATCTTGTTTAGTGAAATTTTTGGGGTAGGGTCGAATGTGATTGTTTGTTTGAACTGCAAGTATGGTCTAAGCGTCAGGCCTGAGCCCAAGTGCCACGTGGGGCCAGGCCTCAGCCGGGGCCATGACTGGCCTTGGTGGCCTAGCTACATATTTGCCCTTTTCTTTTTTGAATCTAATTGGGCTGGGCCAAGAGCAGGACCAATCAGCATGGTCTAGGCCCACAACAGCACTATTGGGTCATGGGCCTGCTTCAAGCCAGGGCTGGCCCTGCCCAAGCCCTCGCCCTCGGAGATTTCCATCCCTAGCTTGTTTTAGTACCCCCATTTGACACAGTATAGGCTTAGGCCAACGCTATAGGGACCTGGGCCCTGCTCGGGCCTAGCTCAAGCCAGGGCTGGCCTAGATTCCCAATCCTAGCTTTGCAGTTAGTATGTCAAATGGGACAAAACGGTATGCAAGTAATAATTACTAAAATTTGGACTAGACTTTGGATGGGTACCAAACTTGAACGATTTGTAGCTGCGGATCATAGTTGGCAAGTCTCCGACTAAGAACACGATTTTTTTAAAAAGGAATTCCAATTTTTTGAAATCCATTAATAACTTGGATTTTTTATATCCGTGAAAAAAACTCCAAATTTTCAAAAGATCTTCAGAAATTCGTTTTTTTTTTATGGAGTCATAATAAAAGGTGTATTTTATCTTCTCTCATAAAGGTTTTTATAACAAAACTTCTTCCATGTAAGTTGACTACTCTTCTTCCTTGATTTGATATATTTGAAAATTTATTTTTTAGATATGCTCATTAAAATTTAGGCTAAATTAAGAATCCTGATATATAAAAAATTCCATTAAAATCTTCATCAATATTCCTATAAAAAATTGTATTAAAAAAAATACAACCAACGCATTACTAAAATTTGGACTTGACTTTGGATGGGTACCAAACTGAACGATTTGTGGCTTCGGATCATCGTTGGCAAGTCTCGGACTAAGAACACAATTTTTTCTAAAAAGAATTCCAGTTTTTTGTATTCCATTAATAACTTGGATTTTTTATATCCGTAAAAAAAACTCCAAATTTTCAAAAGATCTTTAGAAATGCGGGTTTTTTTTTTTTTGGAGCAGATATAAAAGGTGTATTCTATCTTCTCTAAAACACGTTTTTTAACAAAACTTCTTCCATGTAAGTTTACTTCTCTTCTTCCTTGATTTGATATTTGAAATTTTATTTTTGAGATATGCACATTAAAATTTAGACTAATAAGAATCCTTATATATAAAAAATTCCATCAAAATCTTCATCAATATTCCTATAAAAAATTGTTTTAAAAAAACATACTGCCAATGCATTCCTATAAAATATATTCTTAATATGTAGATTTAGAGGAAGAATAACACACTAACATATGTCCTTTTTCTCTGAACCAAGAGCACCATTCCAACGAGGAAGAGAAAGGGAGATGTTTGATTAAATTACACATTTAGGTAACAAGGAATTTGGGGGTAATGTTCAAATATTTGGAGTTGAGTTTGCATACTCATCTTTTTCAGTACAAGTAAGTCGTTTGTCATTTGTTCTGTAAATATTAATTTTACCATTGGATGAAGTTTCTATAAGGCCTAGGCCTAATGGAAACAAAATAAAGCCTCACCTCATATCCTCGTCTGAAAAGCACTTTCGACTAAGAAAATATTTATGACGGCTCTAAAATCAATTTCCAACATCAACATTAATATTTGAAACTAAAAAAAAGAAGGTACAGATCTTGCAGATCTATGAGTACTTATTTTTAGTACAAAATGGACGGTCTAGATAATTTGTTAATACACTATTTTTAGAGCTTGAAATCATAACTATTTTTTTTAACAACCATGATGTTCAAGTCGAGATTATTGATGAAAAGGTTTTCTAATGCTTGAATTGCAATTCTCGATGAATAATGAGGTGAGGATTTACTTATTTTGATAGGGCTGCAGCCCTATCAAACTATTTTTCAATCTTATATTAAGGGTTGCTTCGTCTTCTTGTTTCCTAACAACAATCACAATTTTCACAAAAAATTTTCAAAAAATTTTCAAGTAGGATCATAAATGATATCAAGTAAGAATTTATAATTGTAGTTTGTATAAGGTGTCAATCTTAAATAATCCAAGTAATGTACACCTTTAAATTATGCACTACAAGAGGCACTATTTGCAAAATTTAACATCAATTTTTTCTTTTTCATACCCTTACATCTCAATATCAAGCTAGTTGGTCAGTTAGAGGATTTTGACAATCTATTGGTAGGTTTTTGAGATGCACCTTACTTCTACAATATAAAGTTGACACCTTACATAAACTTTCACCTATAATCATTTTTCAGTGATCTTGAGGTATGTTTGCAATAACTACAAACTATTATTCTACCAGAAATCTTTGCATATCCGATTTTTGCCCTGATTTTAGCGATACTTTGGTCTTTGCATATCCGATTCTTGCCCTGATTTTAGCGATACTTTGGTTTAACAAGCATATTATTATTCCCTCATTCACTTGGTATAGTTTGGATTAGGTTGAACCGCCATCATAGTGGTACGACCAGTTTTCGATGGCACTAACCGGCTTCAAGAACATGTTAATGGGCTGGGTGTGAGTAAACGTTGACCGGTCCAGGTAACCTACACTAACCGGGCAAGACCCAACCCGGCTAAAATGGGGTAATTGTTCTTTAGAAAATGTCAACAAATCCAAAAAATATGCTTAAAATATAATTAAATGAAATACATCCAAAGGAGATTAAAACGATAGTGAAAAAAATGGATATTGAACAATCAATTTGTGCAAAAGGATATTTAAAAAATAAACTTAAAAACATGGGAAAATTAAAAATAACTATTTGTGGCCATAATACTTTTCAATCTATTTCAAAAAGTTAAAAAATATATTACAAATAAATTTTTTAATTTTTAATTTTTTTAATCGGTTATGTTAAGGTGTTCACACTATAGAGCATTTTATAATGGACCCAGTTTCTATACGGCCAAGCCTGCATATGTAGAAATGCGGGCCTCTTAATAAATCTATTTTTGAGATGGATTTTAATACTTAATTTTTAATGACATGTAATCTCTATCATGGAGATTATGGATATGAAAAAAAAAATAGAAATAATAATTCTTGTAAGAAAACATTTGAACCATTAGTTTCCATTGTTTTCAGATGAAACACCTACTTGCATCCATCTTTAAGATGGATGTTGTACACTTTTTGGACTGCATATGTAGAAATGCGATCCAACCCGCATAAAACAATTTTTATTTTATAATTGTATTTAACAAATTTTGGACATTTATATACTCTTGTTTTGTATATGGAGCATTTTTTTAACGAGAGTATTTTTAATCGTTAGGAGATGTGTGTAACATCACCCATATGGATGATGTTATCCCCCCTAATGATAAAAAACATTTCTTTAAATAAAAAACACGTTTCTTAAAGAAATGCTCCATATACATAACAAAAATATACAAGTGTACAAAATTTGTGGAGTACAATCATAAAAATGAGACCACACCCGCATACGTAGAAATATGAGCCTCTTAATAAATCTATTTTTTAGATGGATTTTAGGCCTTAATTTTTAAAAACATAATCTCTAACATGAGATCATATGAATATGAAAATATAAATAAATTTTAAAAATTAAAAATAATAATTCTAATAAAAAAACATTTGGATGATTAATTTCTATTATTTTTAGATGGAACATCTTGCATCATCTTTAAGATGGATGCTTTACACTTTCAGAACCGCCTATGTAGAAATGCCCTATATCGTGCATGAAAAATATTTTTCTATTATAAAATACTATATGGTGTAAACCCCATCATAAGCCTTTAAATATTTATGGCTATAATACTTCTCAATCTTTTTCAAAACAATAGAAAATATTAAAAGATCTATTAAAAATAAAAATTTTATTTTTTTCAATTTTTAATATAGTTTTCAGGCTTTTCTTTTTTAAGTTAAGGTGGTCAAGCCAGTTAACCACCCTAACCGGGGGTCCGTGTTGAACGGGCAAGTCAGTGGATACGACTTAACTGAACGTTTGTGTGATTGACATAATTTAGAGAGAGAGAGAGTGAATTGAAGGGAGAGAATGATCTTCGAATATGTTTCATAACATAAATGTGGAGGACTTTGTTAAGCAAAGACAATAAAGTGAGAGGAGAAATGAAGAGATAGATGTTAATGTCAAGCGTTCAAAAAGAGCGATGTTGATGTCATGCAACGCCATTCAAGAACTCATGAAAACACAGGAGAGAGAGACAGAGACCCGACAGGCCCAGGCCACTAACCAACCCTAATCTCACTGACATGATGTTTCTTGTCCCATACGCCCCCCAACCTTTCCAAAAGCATTAAACAAATGCCAAAACTGCATGGCCCTCACCATTCCCCCTGCTCCCTCTCTTCCCGCCCTTCTGTTGCCGCATTCATAAATCGATTCCCCAATTTTCACATCAAATCCCGCCCTTCTCTCTCTGTTCAAGACCGCGTGTAAGCACATCTCCCCTCCCTTCACAACTCCACCCACCCCATCCCACTCCCCAAAAAAATTTAAATAAATATATATATCCCAAAAACTTCCCAAGACACGAGAAAAGAACTTGTAATAAACAAATTACGAAAACCAAACCAAACCAAACGGGTGATAAGAGAGAAAGACAGCAAGTTGGCCAACCATCGTTGGTACTCACTACTCGTTGACTCTGTCCATTAAATCACAATAACCATAAAAAAAAACTACTCATTTTAAACAATAACGCCTATTTTTGTGCATCATTATTCCCTGGGCCCCACCTTTGAAATTCTCTCTTCCCATTTCTCTCTCTTCGCATGCTAAATAATGAAACAGCCCCCCACCCAAATAACGTTCCCTTCCTTACTTTTTTTTTACATTACACAAATATATATTTTATTTCGTGAAAGCCCAAAAGACGACAAACAAACTCCCCAACAAATTAAAAAGACTACAGAAAAAAGCTAGAGAGAGAAAAAAATTTAAAAAAGGAGCCTACTCATAAAGCATTTAAAGAAACGGATTGTTAACTCACGCCAAGTCTATGTAAATACGGCGTCAAAATACACGCTGAGACGGCCCTATTCCCGTAGACTTGACGCCGTTAGTTCGAGGACCCCTCCTTCGGCTCGGGCCCTCTCTTTCTCTCTCCCTCACGGTTTCGAAACGGAGGCCGCGTCCTTGACGGCGCCGACATCGGTTCCGTTGGCCATCGCGGACTGCACGGTCAGCACCGACATGCTCGGGGATGAGGGCACGTCGGCGTTGGTTGGGCCCATCAGCACCGATGATGGATTCCTCGTGTGACACGTGGCGGATGAGATAGCCGATGCAAGCGAAATAGGCATGAGGCATAGGCCCTTCCCTTGTAAATATTGCATAGCGGAACCCATGTCCTCTTCCATTAGCTTTGCAACCTGGTGTTCCGTTACCGTTAGGCTGTCCTGCGTCGGCGTTTGACCCCCGCTTGCATTCCGTCCAATTCCATTAGCCTGGATGCAGTCTCCTCCTCCCTGTAGTATAACGGACATCACGTCAGCTTAACGGAAAAACCCTTTCACATTCCAAATGGACTTTCTAGAAACAAATGCATAACTTTTTGCCACTTCCGAGCTTTTCCGATCTTGGGTTTCCTCGATACCAGTTTCAAGGTTTTCGATCTCCGAAATGACTTTCCCCTTATTAATGGTATTCGATTTATATTTTTCAATTAATTTTATGCGATATTAATTGGTTACCTCTGAGGAAATATCAGCAACGAGTGGGGCAACAGCAGCTGCACCACCTAATCTGCTCATACTCAGAACCTGCAACAAAAAGGAGAGAGAGAGAGAACAAATAAATATTAATAAAAAAAAGCCCAAAATAAAATAAAATCAAATCAGAATAAAGATTTTGTGGTTCGGCTTCTAGCAATAAAACTAATGGAAGAAATGTTACCTTGACTTGGAGCTGGAGGAATTTCACATACTCAATGATTTCGTCAAGCATGGAAGCTTTGTCAGTCTAGAGAGAGAAAGAGAGTAGGTAAGTATCAATTACAAGACAAAAGACCAGGTAGCACTCCTATTCCTTAGGCCATATAAATTACAGAAACAAGGAAAAGATGCGAAATATACCTTATTAGCGTTAGGTACCAGTTCTTGCAGTGCTTTCATTCTCTCTGCGATTCTCTCCCTGCGCAACTGGAAAATTCATAAACAAAAAAAACAAAAAAACAAATCAATGAGGAGAAAGAATTAAAAAGAAGAAAGATATCATAAAGCATTTCCTTTCTATTAATTTCTTTCTACTCAGCCAACTCTTCATTACTTGGATTTGGCATTTTCTTTGCATTTGATATTATTATTTATTTTAATGCAGTCGCTCAATCCTAATTATTCAGTAAACAATTGATTCTGCATTCGATTTCATTCTTTGTACTTGGATTTATTTTATTTTTTTGCACTTACTCTTTCAGCAATGCTATGTGGATCGGTGGCTTGGCCACGGCGAGCCCTAACCCTAGGCCTCGCAGGAGCAGCGTTCCCCGTTGGTCCCGAACCAGGTGGTGCATGATTCATTGCTGGATTTCCACCTCCAAAGGTTTGAGAAGGGAGCTGACCCTGCAAAATAAGTTCAAGGAGAAAAGGATAAAGCACATATTTTCCTAAGCAATAAATGAAATTAAAATCACCTTAAACAAATAAAATAATAAGAGAAATAGGGAGAAAGACGACAGATTTGGGATATATCAGAGACCTGAGAATAGAAATGCTGGTTATTGGGTTGAGAAGCTCGAGGCTGAGATGCTGCGGAGAAGCCATTGTAGAGACCTGGAACCAGTCCATCACCGACCTGTAACTTCAACCACGGTTACTCAGCAATGGATGACAAACACAAAAAACCAAAAAAGTCGGAAAGAAATTAAAAAATGAAAATTCAGGCTAAGCCATATAGTAGTTATTTTTCAAACACAAAATAAAGGAATTCAGGCTAACTCTATAAAAATTTTAATGTTACTACACAAAAAATCGCAAAGCACATAGATTGTGAGGGAAAAAAAAAATTTTAAAAAAAAATCAGTCCAAATCCCAAAAAAAAGTTCAAATATTGAGGAAAAGTATGCTAGCTACAAGTAAATATTTCTAAATAATAAAATCCAAGTTAACTTCATTGCCGCCTCCTCGAAAGAAGCTTAAACCGCCTTTGTAATAGTTTCACACAAACCCAAGAAAATATCATAAAAACGAGGAAAAATAATTACCCAAAAAAAAAAGAACAAGAATATCAGAATCTTACCCCATTGCCGGCCTTGAAAGAAGCTTCAACCTCGTCTCTCGCTCGATCAACCATAATCTGCGTTTCCTCATTTGAATCTTGACCCCCTTGGCCTAAACTCAATGGAAGGGGAGGCATCATACCCCCATCGCTCAAACAACTAGATGAACCAGGTGACCTAGCCACCCCTCTGGGCGAAATCAACTGTGCCGCTCCAATCCCTGCGTTATTCAGCTTCAAACCAGGCGAACTTTGGCTTGAGATTTGGTGTTGCCTCAGCCTCGAAGCCAATAAGGACGATTCATCATAGTATGGTGAAATGTTTTCGGATGAATTTTCAGTCTTGGTACCTGAATTCGAGTTTAGGGAGATGGAGAAAAGCTTTGAATTTTGAAGGGTTTGTGGATTGAGCTCAGGCCATGGGGATTTTGAAAGTTCGGCCCAAGAAGAAGGGAGAGTAGAGAGCATTTGGTCAAAGAGATCGTCATGGTGTTGATCAAAATGGGGTTGAATTTGTTGGGTTATTTGTTGGTTTTGGTTTTGGCTTTGATTTTGATGCAGAGTGGTGTGTTGCTGTTGTTGAAGGTCTTGCAGAGAGGTTAAGCAAGTTGTCATGGAGTTCACACCTTGCATTTCTGTTTCGCAGGGTTGATGATGCATAAGAGGGGTTATCCGAGCCGCTGGATTGGGCCAGAGAAGATCAGAGACCGTTGGATGGGATCCTGGGGAAGATGCAGTGTAGAGAGAGGAGATGTAGATTTTTTAGAGAGAGAAAGGAGCTCGTTCTAGTGAGAGAGGTGTAGATTTAACAGTGGAAAGAGAGAAAAAGAGGTCGCTCCAGTAAGAGAGAGAGAGAGCTCAGTCTAAATTTACTGAAAGAAGGAGGTCGTTCAAAGTGTGTGAGAGAGATAAGTTCCTTCTGATGAGCAAGGAAGAAGTGACAGGTCTAGCGGGAATTTTTTAGAGAGGGAGAGAGGTAGTCAGCGTGTCTGTCCTTCCCGCTTTACCTTTTTCTTTTCTTTTCTTTTCTCTGCTACTTTGACACGCAAATGCGATGAACCTACAAAGAGACACCGGATAAAAACCGCTTTCTCTCTCTAAGCTCTCAACTTGTTTTTTGCAGATTTAAAAGCCACAATCCACCATTTCTATATACACTCGTCAACTCAAACAAGTCTTTGAATTTCTCTCTCTGAATAACTTTTATTACTGATCAAATCACATACCAACCAAAAACCCTAGAGAGGGAAAACCCATTACACATCAATCGAAAATATAGACTGAAATGATCTACTGAGAAACAAGGCTTTTCTCACAATAACCGCCTCTTCAGTCAACCTAAAAACCAGAAAAAGAAAACCTGATCCCAAATCACCGACTCTTTCTCTCTCTCTCTCTCTCTCTGTGAAAAGCCCAGCCCAAGGAGAATAGCGCTCTAAAACTGCTCCTGCAATAGTTGCAGAGTTTGTGGCATGAGAGGAGTTTGAATTAACAGAGAGAGGAGCAGTTCTAGGGTTTCAGAAACAAAGGCGTTGCAGTATAAAACATACCTAAATTAGGGTTTCGAAACCCCAGCTTTCTCTCTTCTTCCTCTCCTGCCACTGCTGATTTCACTGCTTCTTCCGTTTTGTATCAGCGCAGAGAAAGAGGGCATTTCGTATCACAAATAAATTCCAAAAGACAATCTCCTTCATTTCTCCTCATTAAATACTCTCATTTTCTCTCTCCAACCATGGACTGGATTTCTCTCTCTATCTACGCTCTTTCTCTCTCTAACCGTGGACTCCTTGTTGTTACGGAGCTGACCCTGGTTAAATCTCACCGGTTAAGGATGTGACCCTGGTTAACTGAAGAGGGCCCGCTATGTCTAGGGTTTCTTCTCTCTCTCTAAATCCTTAAAGTTTTCTCTCTCATCCTTCCGAAATTTCTCTCTCTTAAATCCTTCGGAATTTCACAAGTACCCTTTGGCATGAAATTACTATAAATATCCTTTTTGTGCGCTGCCATGGTCGCTAATGGATGGGATTATTTTGGTAATTTGAACTGAGCTTGGAATCCGGATTAGCTGAATTTTTATCAAAAAAAATTATTTATTCCGTTGAAGAATGGTGAAATTTCAGTTATTCGCGAGTTTAGGCTGGTAAATTTCGGCGAAAATATTTGGCGGATTGAAATTTCGGTGAAGATCACCGATAAATACCTCTCGTTCCAAGTTCTTAGTCGGTTGGTTTCAAATTGAAAAAGGGTATTTTCGGTTTCAAATGTTAGCTTTAAATTAATTACGAATAAGGCGGGGAAATATTAATTCAGGGATATTAATTTGGGAGAAATTTGAGTTAAATTTCACCTGTGTACTTGATTTAATTTATCGTTGGTACTTGGAACTAAATTATTGCTGACATTTTCCGTAAATGACCAAATGCCCCTGAAGTGAGATTCAAAACTTGTTTAAAAAATAATTGAGATTTTTGGGCCCAATTCGGATTTGACCAGATTAGTAAAAGCCTCCTTAAGAGAGAACAACATGAAAAAGTTTGCATAAGGTGTTTACCTTGTCCCGTACAAGTAAGGTGCGTCTAAAAACCACTAGAAAAAGTTGTTCTTATATAGTAGAACCCTCGAATCAATCATCTCAAATAAAAGATTTAAAAAAGATTTATCTCTATTTATCATTTTTCAAGATTTTCAAGTGTTATAGATCTCGTTATTTCTGACACTTTAAATTTCAACAATAGATATTCCTATCATCGCAAGGATTTGCAGCATGGAAACTGCATAGTTATGAGGTGCACCTTATTTTAATAGTATAAAGTTGAAACGTATACAAACCTCACCCATATCTTTATTTCATGGAAAAAGTTTACAAAAGTTCTTGACCTTATATTATTGAAGTGAGGTGCACCTCAAAATCCTCTAGAAGAGTGTTTCCACATTTAAAAAATCTAATATTAATCATCTTGTAATAAGTTATTTGGGCTATTTTCAAGTTTTTTTCTAGAAGAGTGTTTCCATGTTTAAAAAATCTAAAATTAATCGTCTTGTAATAAGTTATTTAGGTTATTTTCAAAAAATTTAAGTGTTTATAGATCTAATTGATTTGTAGCATTTTTTTTATTTTAAATCCCACAACTTTGGATAATTATAGATTTTCAAGTCATTATAAGATTTATGATGATGCCAGAACTATATATCTCCAATCAAAATTTAGAACCTTGTATAAACCGCATCCTTATTTCATTCCGTTTTGTTAGCCAATGTTTGCACCCAAATAAGGAAGCAATTTTTGTCCCGAAAATCTTATTAAAAATTCGTAGTCTTCCATAAATTCCGGATTTGAATTTGAAAACCGCACCTAGTTGAAAAACCGTCCCTTAACTGTGAATTTCCGTTAAAATTTCAAACTAGAACATGTGTCGAAATTCTTGTGAGAAAAGCTTGGATTATTTCTGCGGCAGATTCAAACAATTTCGGCAATAATTCGCCAAAATCCAAATTCAGAGTATTGATTTTGTGACTCCGCAGTCCGCACCGAAATTTGACTGAAATTCTTATATTTGACGGAGAAAGTAGAAAGAGTCACTGACCACCGAGTTTAAAAAGTCCACGTAATTTGCATTTTCAAATTTTGAAAAACTTCGACAAATTCGATTGATAACTAACAAGTAAAAACGTTACATTCAGAACTTAAGCGAAATATAGTCAGATTTCCACTTAAAAACAAGATAAGAAGACCATGTCATTCCCCTCTCCCGCGCCCCCCACACCAACCCCCCACCCCAAAAAAAAAATTAAAAATCATAAATAGCCATCCTTTGAGTCGTATCCAGATCGGGAAGCGAGCGTTTAGTTTGAGGAACCTCGATTTTGCCTGATATTGTTTTTCTTTGTTACATGTTGCCTGATCCAACTCAGGCTTAAACCAAGTCGAATAGGGCAAACCGGAATTAGAACCCTAAAGATTTAGGCATTGTGCTTCAGTTATGTCAAACCGCAATTGAAACGTTCATGTCATACATTATTTCGTCACGTGGTTGAGTGCACTCAGGCTTTGCCGAGTAGCTCGGCGTTGCCCTATAGGCAAGAGAGTTCACCCTACAAAGACATTTTGAAAACTTTAGAACTAAAAGCAAAACCAATGACAAATGTATTACTTAGTTTTGGGCAATGATTCATGCAACTACTGTATAGTAATATGATGCAACAACTTTAAAATATCATCTTATGGCCATTTGTTTGATCCAAGTTTTGAAATATACACTCTTTTATTTCTAATGAACAATCACAAAAAAAAAAAAATTGAAAACACAACCTAGAAAGTATTTTTTTTAGCCCAATTAACATAGGGCATTTATTTTTGTGAGATTCTTAGATCTAGGCTTTAGAAAGATTTTTTTATTTCCAATTTTTTGGATGGTTTTATTATCATTAGATGAACAATGCTAAAAAAGAAAAAAATGATTTTGAGTTTATAAAAGCTAAGATCTTGAAATTCACAAAATGAATGTTCTAGATTCATTTTTGGAGGGGGCTCATTTTAACCATATCTAGGGTTCAAATTGAACTTTTTTTTTTTTGGGAGGGGGGTGTTGATTATTGAGATGAAGAGAGTGTGTGTGGAAAAATTGAGGTCATACAAATAACACAAACATGGTTTTCTAGAAGTGTCGTTGTAGTATACTATCATATAACTGTTGCATGGGATCATTGCCCCCTCAGTTTTAGATGATTTCTATAGTTTTGAGCAGCGTTTTAAAAAACGCCGAGTCGAACCGGACTCGCCCAGTTTGACTCGGAAATTGTGAAAAGGGACCGGATCGCCCAAAAAATCGGAAATCGTCCGGTTCTAC